AGCCGCAGTGAGCGGCCGTCCAGAAGTCGGCGACTGATCTGCCTCGCCAGAGAAGAGCACAATGATGGTGCCAGCTTGGGCCAGTGAAGCAACGACCTCCACAACTAGATTGAAGAACAAAACGACAGCAACTTGTCTGTTCCCCTCCCCGCAATTCCCCAATAAAAATCTTTAAAAAAAAAAAAAGAAGTGTATCCTCACACTGACCCCAGCACAATGGTGGAGCCAGGGGCAGCAGCGGCCACGGGGCTGCTTAAAGCTGCCTTCCATGCTATGCCACCCTCCCTCTGAGGCCGCAGCTGTCAGCCCCGCTCCCTGTGCCCCATGCGCCAGCTCTCCCGCCCCATCAGCCCCCGCGCTGCCTTCGGCTGTCAAAACCAGGCTCTGTTCCTGTTCCTGGCTCTGGCTCGGCTCTCCCCCATCGCTGCTGAGCTTGCGGTCAGCCCTCCAGCCTCGGTCCCCACCTGGAAGCGCTCTGCGTGGGTGACCACTTTGGAACAGTGTGCTGTGCATCCATGCAGGGGCCTTTGGGCCTGTTCCTGCTGTTGAACTTTCGCCTTTATTTATTTTCTTAGATTCCAGTCAGGCGTCCCTGTGTCCAGAGAACCTCAGCCCCCTCCTAACACTTAAGCCGACTTCTCCGCCGGGGATCCTTATGTTGTTGTGCAGTATTTTGTGGCAGCACTTGAAACACACTTACAAACATACTGCTTCACTTCCCCTACCCAGCGCCTAACTCCGGGGGCTGCGCGCCCCGTTCCCGGGACCTCCTGTAGGCTCTCCGGACACATGATGCTTTATTGGGTCTGGGCATCACCACATCATTTCAGGTGTTAGATGATGACGTAGCCCAGAACACAGGTGCCTTGAAAAGGCTTGTAAAGAATTGGGTGTTTTCTTTTATGACATCGGTGTTTTTAATTCTTCACCCTCAATTCTTTTTGCAAGCCAAATAGCTACTATATGCTCTCAATTTACATTCCTTCTGTTTTTTGGTACAATACAATTGATTCTGTGAGAGAAGGCTATAAAATCAGCATGGACTTGTACCTGATCTGAGACGCACTCCTTAAGCTAAGGAAGTAGGAAGTGTCTGCTTGCCACATGCTCCAGACTTCTTGTGGGAAACCTGATATTTGAAAAGCTAAGAAAATTAATTGCAATTGTTGAAATTTCAAAACTGTGATAATTATAATTCTCTAAAACAGAAGAAAGAGAAGTAAGTTGTAGGTTATATTTCAGTGAAACTGGGTTGAAACTTTTTCTTTTTTTTTAAAGGACTAAAACTAAGAAGTTAATTTAAATTTGTACTTTAAGTATATTTGTGGCACCTCCTTTTTTGTCTACCAAAACCTCATAAGTGTCCAAATAGAGGCCCCCAAATTACCTTCCTGGTGGGTACTGGAGTGGAGGAGAGTGCCAGCAGGCTCCAGCCTGACCCCCTGACCTAATGGAGACGGAACGCTCCTGACAAGCTGTGTCTGACACACAGTATGCTCTTGGCAATTGTCAGCCGCTGATGATAATGAGACCACTGAGAGAAACTTAACAAGGCCCGCGCAAGGCCTGTGTGACGTGACCTTGTTAGAAAATTTCTGAGAAACACAAGAGAAGATCTGACCAAATGAAGAATGCTACATTTTGAATCGAAAGGCTGTTTTGTAAAGATGTCGCTGTCTCTGATGAAAATACCAATGGCATTCTTTAAAACACTATAAGATGATTCTGAAATTTATTAGTTAAGAAATTGGAGTATTACTTGTAAGGAAATTTGGACAGTAATGACAAGGGGCCTGTTCTACCCCAGAATTGCTGCACGAGTCAGTACCTGGGCTGTAAGTCACATGGCCCGGTGTCTGGGAGTGCAGGCACACTTCCAGCAGTGTCACTCGGGTCCCTCCTGCCTGTCTCTTTATTAGAGTGGGACTCTGGGTAGTGCTGAGGGCCTCTTGGGCCATGCGGCAGGTGGGGCAGCAAGGAAGGAATTACAGTGCGATTCAGCAGTCGCCCTCCATTGTGGGGACAGCGGTTCTTGGGAACAAAGGAATGGGGAGACCAAGCTCACTTTTCTATCTGGTGTTGACAGCCTGTTGGACCAAAACAAATGTATGATTTTCAATGCCTGCTAATTCGGTTTTCAGAGGGAGTAAAGGTGTAGAGTAAGAAAAACAAATATTGTCATGAGATGTCAAGTGCTCGATGCCTTATGCTCTTCCCTTGTTGAAGATTGTGATGTGTGTGATGCGCTCTGCCTGCCAGTCTCACAGCCACTTGTTTTCTCAGGTTTCTGCAGGTTGATTCCTCACGCACGCTCACCAGGTACCTGGACGATCTATTTTGAAGGTGCAGATTATGAAAGTCACCTTCTACGGGAGAACATGGAACTGGCAAGTATTGGACGGGTGCTAGGTGGACCAGAAAAAGCAATGTATTTCTTATGACTTGAAAATTTGATGCAAATTCATTCCTCGCTACAGTGAACATTCTTGTGCTAAGAAAGCTTTAAAATCACCTCTTAATGCTAATTTTATTTAAAAACTCTTAAACCCACGATTTAATTATATATATATATATATATATATATATATATATATATATATATATATATATATATATATATATAAAGTTTTTATTTTCAGGCCTTGTCTGTACAGTTTTGTCTACAAACAAATGGTGCTTTTTAAAATAAAGAGTATTTATACCCACAGTTATACCAACCTTAGTGTTAATATACATTTTTAAAATAGGTTAATATGGTAGCCTTAACAGATTTCATTAGATGTTTTCCTTTGCTAAAAATATCATCTTAGTCGTTCTACCTTGTCTTAAGTATGTATCAAATCATTTACTAATATTTCATACATTTCTGAAAGAGTGGTCAATTCCAGTATTTACTATTTTTCTACATTCTAAGGGAAGCTCTGCTTTGCTCCATACAGAGCCTTTTAAACCAGAAGGCTGCTTCCCCCTGCTTTAGGGGGCGGCGCCAGTGCAGGGTGCTCGTGCACCGCACACGCTAGCCTGTTTTGGTTTGAAATACCAGTCCAGAAGAAATAGGAAATTTTTCCATTTCGAAGTTTTTTATTTAGTTTCATTTGCCTTAAACTTTTCTGTAATTGTCATTTTCGTCTAAGCCACTTAATGGTTCAAGGAACAAGCAGACGTGACCACACATTGGTCAGGATTTTACTATGAAGAGGGCTTACTCTATTTTGTGTTACCTGTCCCCATGACCCCAGACACCCTGGAGTAGATGAGTGTGTCTGGGCCCAGATTTAGAGATTCTGGTCATGAGAAACAACCATAAGTCTCGTGAAGCTTCAGAGACTTACTATGTATCCTGAATTATTATTAATTGGTACTCAGTCAAAACAGGGTGCCCATTGTATATCTGATTTCTATGAAAGCACTATGTAAGGTGGCAATACTTAATATACGATAAAGAATGTAATGTAGGCTCTGTATATTAAATTTTTTAGATTTGAACATGTATCATATCCATCCCCCACTACTGAATTAGTTGATAATTTCTGTTTCCTAAACAGATGACACATGTAACTACTGACAGTGACCGTGCCTCTGACACTTACCGTTGACCTTTCTAACTCTTATCAAATCCTACGTGACAGCAATTTCTGATTGCCGTATTTCATAGAAAAACAAGTACCTTTTAGGTGGAATCACTGGCTCTTTACCTTTCTGGTTTATTCACAGCTCCCTCAGGAAATTTCAGATCTTGATTTTTAAAAATCATAATGTCACCCACTCTTATTATTACCCTTAAAATTCTGTCTCACAGCCTCTGGTTCTGAGTTAGCAGCCACTTGTTTAATCCTCACTCCCAGGCAACACACCTTTGTACATATTTAACATTAGTGTGCACTGGCAGCTTGCTTCTTTCGTTTCGTTTCCTCTTTCGTGGGAGGTGTGACCTGTACACAGCGTGTCACATCCACAGATCATTTGTCTTGCTCACTCATTTATGAATCTGTTCAAGAACTGGCCTGTCCTGTGGGGACATAGCTTGTCGCTTGAGGTTTGCACCCAGCTGAGTGGGCTTCCCGTCGTAACGTGGGAGCGGGAGCACAGCTGCTCCAGCCCCGTGGCTGCGTTCATTCTGCTGTGTAAGAAAAGGTGTCTGTTAATTTTTCTGAGAGACAGATGTCAGGGTGCCTCTGTCAGAACTTCTCTTCTGTCCTGCCCATAGAGTCTCTAAAATACTTTTAAACAACTTCTTTAAAAAACACCCAGGAATTTATTCTGAAAGGTAATAAAGTAAAAACTTCATTTTGTTTTTATGTTTGGGTTTTTGTAACTGGGTAGTTATGGAAGTTTAGTTTTGTTTTATGCATTAAATTCTTCAAGTAACATTTCAATAGCATTTATGACTAGATTCATCTTTAACACTCGTGAGTCAAGGGGGAGGTGGGTGTCACTTTGAGGGGTAAAAAGTGTAACTAGTGCACTCTGTTGTACAGCTGAAACTAATTTCAAAAAATAAGTTAATTTAAAAAAATTTATTATTAAAAAAAGACTCTTGAGTCAAGAGTATTAGCACTTATTTTAAGAGTACCTGTGCTGATTGATTTTTTTTTTTTACTATTTCTTTTCCCACTCTCCTGTTTATTCCCCAACCCCCACTACCCCCCAGTTCACCACAGTGAACATGGCTAGATAGAGCATGAGCTGTGTGACCATGTAGAAGCACCCCCATTTCAGCCGTAAAGTATACCTTTCTTTTCATCCTTTAGGCTCAGCCTCTGAGGAAGGAACCTGAAATAATCACTGTGACCCTAAAAAAGCAAAATGGAATGGGCCTTAGCATTGTTGCAGCAAAGGTAGGACAGAGTCGGGCGTGCGCGTGCTCAGGGTTCGTTAAACCTGGACTCAGAGGGCCGGCCGAGTGGCTCAGTTGGTTGAGAGCTGGCTCAAGAGTGTGAGCTCTGAGCAACAGGGTCACCAGTTCGAGTCCCGGCCGGAGCTGAGCTGCCGCTGAGCTGCCAACAGGTGGCAGGATGGCTCAGCTAAAAAAAAAACCAAAAACAAAGACTCATAAACCTGGGCTCAGTGGTCGGGGGCAGGGACGTTGCTGCCTGAGGGTGAAGTGCGTGTGTGTTGTGTTTAAGGGGGTGGGGGCTGGGGGGTGTTGTAGGAGTGAAGCAGCTGCTCGGGCTCTGCTCTCTCTGCAGGCGGACCTCCCCTCAGGGACCTGGAGAGGGAGCCAACGGTGCTCGGAGGGCGCAGGGTAGAGGGGTCAGCCACCTTGGTGAGCCACTTCAGCCTGGAGGGAACTCCTCGTCAGTGCCCAGAGGGGAGGCCTGTCCCCTCGTCACAGTGGGTGTCACACACCCTTCTCCAGCCCTCGTGCACGGCACAGTCACTGAGCACCTTGACCCCGGCAGGTTTCTGGCTCTGACCGCCAGGCACCCCCTCCAGTGGGTGTGCAGGGGAGTTTCAGAAACCGCATTCTCAACCTGGGCTCAGACAGTGGTTCCGATGGTGCCAACTGCTGGCCCCCGTTTGTGCAGGGCATCAGGAAGGAAGTATCATTTCAGCTACCTTGGCAGGAGAGCACTTGGACAAAAAGGACTTAGGGGACGTTGGGGTAACAGGAAGGATAGAACCACGTGTACTGTACGTGCCGTGTTCAGATCACTCGGACCTGCACCAGCAGGCAGAGTTGAGTAAGAGGTGGTGCGTAACTCATGTTAGAGCCTCCAGAGCAGCGGTTCTCAACCTGTGGGTCGCGACCCCTTTGGGGGTTGAACGACCTTTTCACAGGGGTCGCCTAAGACCATCAGAAAACAAAAAGATATTTACGTTACGATTCATAACTAGCAAAATTATTGAATATGATTAGAGTATATATGAATATACTCTATGAATATGAATATGAAAAAATATGAATAGAGTAGCAGCGAAAATAATTTTATGGTTGGGGGTCACCACAACATGAGGAACTGTATTAAGGAGTCGCGGCATTAGGAAGGTTGAGAACCGCTGCTCTAGATTCATAGGCTGAGAGTTTGTACCTTATCCTGTAGGCACCACAGAACAGTAAAGGGTTCAGAACAAAAGCGGGACATGATGACATGTTAGGAAGCCATACCTGGGAGTGGCGTGGCGTGTGGGATGAATTACAAGAACTTGGGGCTAAAGGTGGGATTCCGGTTAGGAGCCAGCTGGAAGGCCTTTTCAGGGGTGGCTGGAAGCTGTTGTCCAGGGCGCTAGTCTTGGTCTGAAGTGCCAGGTCACATGGGGTCACCCCAGGGAGCCCAGAGGGCAGGTCCAGAGCCTCTGAGCCCAGAGTTTCTGCCCCTTCGTCTGAGAAGGCTCACGTTCATGGCTGTATTTCCAGACTGTTGTAATTGAATGGACCTAGAGCTCAAAATGTGCAGATGTGAATGGGAAGGTGTCAGCTGTGGGCTCTTCTGCTCTTAACAACTGAACCAAACGCCCATGTTCAGGATAAAAAATACTAGGATGAAAACTACTCCATCACACTTAGACAGGAAAAATTTAACCTCTTTGTTTTCTGATGTGTGTGTTATTAAAATTTTATTTTAAATACTCATCTTACTGGAAATTTGAAATACTCATCTGTAATCTCTTGGGTGCTACCATTTCTCAGCGTCTCCTCCACCTTTTTCAGCTTAGAAAAATAATCTCTTTCTCTACAAACTACCTGTTTTCTGTAGATTCCAGTCTGACTTAGGTTAAACGTCTTTGACCCTTTTGCTCGGGTCCTGACGTCTCAAGGACACGCACCCCCTACCCCGTGAGGCCCACTGGGCACTCCCTTGTCTTTCCTCGCGCAAGCCGCTGCCTTTGACCTGATCCAGCTGCCCGCTGTTCGTGGGCAGTTAGGGCAAGAAGCCAAACAAAGTCGCAGTCAAGCTTTATTCACTTCCTTGCAACTGCAGGCAAGAGGCAAAAGAAAAGGGCACTGTCCCCTGTCCCCCGGATGTGTCGGTCAGATGGCCGGTGGCAGGGAGAGCCCTCTGGCCACCAGGAGGAGCCCTGAACCTTTCTGTGGGCCCGGCAGGGGTAGGAGTGACCTGGAGCGGAGTCAGAGTGGGGACAGTGACTCAGCTGGGGCCTCCCTACGAGGCCTCTGCGTGGAGGCGCCTGGGCAGGGCTGCAGGTCTGTGTGTGCTGATTGTCCCGGAGCACAGGCCGAGGCCACCGGAGCCCCCTCCAGAAACCACAGTGTGCCAGCTGCGCCCCCAGTCGCTGTGGGGAAGGCGGCTTCCCCAGGCCAAGGGAGCTGGACGACTCAGCCCTCACCAGACCCGTGCACATTGAGCCCCTTCCCCCCGGCTTTTGTCCACCTGCGTGGCGGCTGGCCACACACCTGTCCGTGCCCATGTGTGCGGTTCCCTCACTGGGCACCCATGCCACCCGCTCCTCTTCTGTGCAGCTCCAAGCTACTGTGTGTTCTTTCTGCACCTGCATTCACACAGGGAACATGGAGTGAAAGCAGTGTTCCGTGGTCGGTAGAAAGTTGTTTGTCGTGGGAAGATAGGTGACTGGGTCCTTGCTGTCCCGCAAGCGGTTTGGGATGAGCAGCTGGTAGAGCCCAGGCCTGATTCCCACAAGCCTCGCAGTTCAGGAGGACACAGTGAGCTTCAGGGTACGCAGCCCTTGTAAGACTAGAGATGTATGAAGGTAGCAGCTAATTGCTAAAGTGATGTTTATTCCGGAAGAGAATGTTGTGTGAAAGATTCGCTTTTGAATCTTTAAATCTCCAGGGTTTTTTGCTTTCTATGGTAATACATTTAAAAGAGAGTCATAGAAAATAGAAAATAACAATATTTCTAATTGAGATATCGGATTATAGAATTGGGACTTAATGGGTAATAGTAACAACACAGGAAGTTAAGCAGAAGTAAATCAAAGGATGAAGCTTTTTGCGGACCGCGGCTGGATTGAGAAGCGTGAGGATGCGGACGTGTACACTGGGCCTGCTGATGTGTGATTTCTGCTTTGAACGCGCCCCTTCCCTCCTCCCTGTGTCGCTCACTAGCTGTGGCCGCCGCAGGCCTCCCCTCGAGAACGCAGAGGACCCACAAGAAGGCGCGCCCCTTGGCTTCTCCCCTCTGCCCAGCACCCAGTGCGTCAGGCCCCTGGGAGAGGTGGGGAGGGGCTGCGCACACCTGCCCCCTCCTATCCCGGGGCGCGCGCGAGGCCTGTGCCTCCTTTTCTAAACAAGAGGGCGGCGTCCTCCATTGTGTCAGGGATCTTCCTTCTGTTCTGATGTCCTGTCTTTCAGATATTTTCCACAGTAAACAGTATGTATACATTTAAAACTGGAAGAATAGCAAGAGTTTTTGAAGAGGCATTGCAGATTCAGTTCTCAGGTGGTTAACTCATCAACTTATATGTACATTTAACAGGACTAAGTACGTGTGTGGCTGTCAAAGTTTTCTTCTCCCGCCAAGAATATCGACATGCAGGCAGCCACTCTGTTAGTGGTCCTTTCAGGGACAAGGCAAAAAGTGTGAATGAGTGAGTGGCCTGGGGGGTCACTCTCAGGGATCTTTGCTGGCTGACTGAGCCCAACTATGCTGTGCAGGTCAGCCCAGGCCCCCCTGCGCAGAGGACTGTAAGCTGCACCTTGAAGGGGGAGCAGGTGTGAGCCAGGCAAGGACGGTGGCTGACAGTTTGAGCTGAGGGGACGTGCAGGGGCTGCAGCCGTGGCTGGCGCAGTGAGGGGACACCCCTAGAGGTGCGTGCACTGAGGGGGCGGGAGCAGGTCTTTCCTGTTTGGGCCGCTTGGTCCCTGCTCCGTGCATGGCTGTGCAGCCGTAGTTGGGAAGCAGCCACAGGGCAGCTGTCAGCGAAGCGGTGTGGCTGTGTCCCAGTCACACCGACCGACAGAAACGCCGCAGCGCTCAGTTACCTGCCCGCCCTGAGACTCTGATGGAGCTGGGAGTGAGATAGGCAGCGTGCAGCGGGCTCCGGTGGGGCACCTGACCGAGTGCTGTCCTGCACGGTGGTCCTCCCTGCTGGACGCAGCAGGGCTGGAGGTGCCCAGAAGCACATTCAGAGCCACCGGTAGGGTAGTGAGAGGTAAGCTGGTACTGGTTTCCAAATGGCGGTGACAGGCATGGGGCATGGAGTCGAGTCAGCAGCTGGAGGTCACTTTGTTGTGAGGTAACGTGACACCAACCCGCAGACACCCCATCTTGTGCTCTGCTGCGGGGCTCCCCTTTTCTGGTCGTCATAGGCGCTGGTGCACGCACAGTCGTTGAGTGACAGCTTCCAGGTTGCCTGATGAACTGGACATAGTGAGTGAAAGAGAAGCAGCCCCACGCGGCCCGATTCTGTCTGCGTAGCTGGGCACATGCAGAGCTCATGAAGGAGGGGCAGGGAGGGGCAGATGGCGGCGTGATAGGCAGGGGCCCAGCTCACACGCAGCACGTGCGATCCGGTGCCTGGCTGGCTGAGGAGGCGACCGTGCCAGCTAGTGGGTGAGCTCGCTGGGTACGTGAGGTGGGACTCCAGCTGGGAGCCGCAGATGAGACGAGGGGTCGCAGAGCTGCTCTGGAGGACAGAACTCAGAGCAGGAGCATGTCGGCTGGAGGCCTGTTACCGCAGCGTGACTGACACTTGTCACTCTCCTCTTGCTGTGGCACAGCACTGTCCCTCCAGTTGTGGGGTGAGCGCCTGCCCTTGGTGCCTCAGGGCGGAGCAGACCGCCTCACCTCTCCAGGCTGCGGTGCGGCCGGGGCAGCGTGCTGACCTCAGTGTCAGGTGAGAGGAGCCGCCGGAAGCGTCCTTAGCCTCTGGGAGTTGGTGATCAGGTCTGCCCCTTGTTCTTAATGTCACCGTGTAT